AAGAGGTCTGGGCACAGCAGCAGCAGCCCTGACCTAGTGAAGGGCTGGGGTATGTCATTTACAATGTCTGTGCCCCACATTCAACCTGTCAAATGGCAGCCACAGCCTTTACTTCCAGGCAGGTGGGGAGGAGATGCTTGCTCTGGTACCATCCTGGGAGGAAAGAGGTAAGAAAGGTCTCGGTAATTTTTATCAGTCTTCTAACTTCTTTTGAAAAATGTCTAAGGTCAACGGCATACTCTGCACCCCCCGCCCCCAGCTGAGCACTCCTGAGGGTGCCGATGGTACGTCACTCATCTTTCTGTCCTGAGCAGCTACTGTAGTGCCTGGACTGGTAGGTTCTCCAGCAATGCTGTGGCATAAAGCACTGAACTTCTGAATATTTTCTATATTCATGGATTTCTATAAGCATGGATTAGAGGGCACTTGGTGTTCAATGCCAGGTCATCTGAAGCACCGCACGTAGAGCAGACGGACAAAGGTGGTCAGGCGATGCATTTTACCATTAATGTGAATGCAGGACTAAGTGGAAGAAAGAATCTGGTACGGGCAAGGGGCACGTCTGAACACTGCCCTCAGGGAGAGTGGGTGCTCTGCTGAAGACCCAGCAGAAGACACAGATGAACTGCAAATGCTTTTGTCTGGAGCTGGAGGAAAAGCACAGAGAGCTGGAAGTTTCTCTGACAGCCACAAATACAGGGGCAGAGACATTATTTGATTCACATTGTGAAGGCAAATGTAATTTCAACTGCCTTGAAAAATGGCAAAGTCATTGTTAAGGTAATTATTCCTTCTACATCGAATTCACCATTTTGTATATCATCATAGGCAACACTCCTGCCAATGCGAAACTTGTATGTCACAGGCAAGGTGAATAACCACCCCTGTTTGACTGGGACTGTCCTGGCTTTTAGCACCGAAAGTCCCACGTCCTGGGAAAGTCCCACTTCCCAGGCTAGTTGGGCACCCTTGTTAAGAGGAGACTCATACACTGCAGCCCCAAGAAGGCCATGAAATCCCCAGTTCCAGTATGTTCTCCTGGCAGTGCCAGTTCTGGAGCCCTCACTGAGCCCAAGAGAAGATCAAAAAAATCTACGTATACTGTGTGCCTACAGAAAGCCCAATCCATGCTGTGTGGGTCCTGGAACCCTATACTTATTCCATTTTCCTCAAGGTTAGTATAGCTTTAAAAGTCCAAAAGCTGGGGCCGGCCCAGTGGCGCACTGCTACAGTGCGCCGCTTGGGAGTGTGGCGGCGCTCCCACCGAGGGTTCGGATCCCACATGCAGACCGGTTCCCGCTCACTGGCTGAGTGAGGTGTGGGTGCAACACTGAGGGTTGCGATCCCGTTGCCGGTCCCGGTCCAGTA